AAAGCATTCGCGCTATCGCTCGAAACCCAAATATAGACTTACAATCAATAGGAATATACTCAAAATCAGATATTCAACATCACATTAGAACACAACAATTCCAAGAATTATTAACACAAATGGACACAATACAAAGACAATCAATTGACCAAAACTTACGCAAACTTGCCGAAACCGCAGGATTTGCTGACATCTATACGCAAGACTATAGTGGATATTTTACAGACATTAAAGATTATATATATCTAAACGGTGAAAAATACCGTCCCCAAGATATATCACCTCTCAATATTTTTAGCTTTGTTACACTCAAGAATCAAATTCTTGATTTTCTAGGATGGCCCTACTACATCTTAGAAAAACTGACTATTTTATACGCAATGTTTAACTTTATTGGATTTCTTTTTTCACTCTTAAAAGGAATCTATAACACATGTGCTATACACACACAAGTCAATAGACAAGCAAGTGTAGCACGCATACTATTTGCAGGATTTTTTGGAATATTTTCTACATCTATAAACAAAATTCTTTTAGACGCACAAATAAAAGAATATAACACAAAAATAGCAACAAGACAGAACACATACGACGAAGAACATAACAATGTAGACACAACACCAACAGCACCACAGTTACCACCCCTACCACATAACCATCCATTATCCCTAGTCCCACGTAATTTTCGATTTTAGCCATAACACATAATCAAAATTTTAGACCAACCATATCACAAAGTCCCATCCAACATATAATGCCACACCACTCACAAGATGAAAATACTTATGAACAAATTATAGAACAACCCCATACCACCGCTTTTCAGTCTCAAAATAATAATTTTTTTAGCCCACGATGAGCCGACAACTTGGATCCCTACACCGATCAAATTCCCACCCAACCAACCTCACCACTCCAATCCCAATAATACCACTTTTTGCTTTTCCGCCACCCGATTTCCCATCCAGTAATGTAACATCCGGCATGAATTCCGATACTAATTCACACATCTCAGTTTTATACTCCATCTCACAACTCAATAACCCGAATATTGAAACCCCCGATGAATTTGCCGACTCTGAACCATCTCCATCAAATAATTTTCACACCAATTCCTTAAATTTTTCCCAACCCCCTTTTCAAACCATACTACCAAATAACCCTGACCCAACCAATTCTACACCCTCTTATGCTTCCCAAGTCACTCCAACCTACTCCTCGTTTCACTCAGACCAATCATCTCATTCTCCAGACACCCCCCGAATCTCCCCAGAACTAGATAATTTCATTACCCTACAACAACAACCCTATCACCTTGACACCCCAACCATAAACCAAATCTCATCCACAATAGATTCATCCAACCCTCCTACCCCTACACCCTCTTCAATTTATATTGAATCATTAGCACCATCCTCCACAACTACTGAATCTTCACTCAGCACTAATAGAGCTTACCGCACTTTTAAAAGAATGTTCCCCAACCATCCTTTCCCAGCGAAACCAGGAACAGCCCGTGAATATATCAACCATCCAAAACACACTAACACAAAAGAATTTTTAGCTATCACCTTACCCTCATTTCCACAATACACCTTAAACACCCCTCATGACACTAACGAGACACGTAACTTTGTAGACGAATACGTTTTAATGCCTACCCTTCCTTGGACCTCATATTATCATTTTACAAATCCCCTTTGCTTACCTTTATCTAACACTCACATCGATATAGAACGAAATAAGGACATGCTATATCGACTCACTACACCACTAACACCTAGACAATTTACTTACATTGGATATAAAAAATCACTAAAAACACACACTGCACCCCGAGCTAATGAATATACACTAGAATATTACGATCATAACATCATCAGAACTAACCAAGATCAATTCTTAGACGACGATCGCTTCGCTAACCCACAAATCACCGAGAAATTTTTCATTAAAACACCATATGTATTTACACTAAATATCTTCGATCGCAAGTTTGACCACATTATTTTAGAAGCACTAACAGACACGCAAGCCTACGAAAGTTTTAAAGAACGCTTCCAAATATTTTCACTAACCTTTCATTTCCTTGCACCACATGAAAGAGATTTGCACTGCTCACACGATATTATGTTGCGCACTAAACAAACACACACATATACTTATTATCGTTTCATCCAAAATCACTTTGACCTACACACTCCCTCCAGACAACCACACCATCGTTTTCAATTCATCAATTCCAAATACACCTCACCATTCTTTCTTAACTTCACATATTGCATTAAAGAAACTAACCTTCATGGTATTCTTCGAAATTATGATCCCATAACCCAAATGTATATTTTTTGTCCCATCACCAAGACCTTCAACGCAGAAGAATCCCGACCCTTCCTCATCCCACACGAGTTTGTACAACCTATAGAAATCCCCATTTTAGAATTCATCCATAACACTAAATTCAATCACAAATTATATAATCTAATCCAAAACACACCTTATGAATTTGCAGTTGGCACTGAAGAACTAACCACCATTAAGGCACTTCAATTGCTTTGGCCACTGCTTCAAACTAAAAATATCATCCGCATCTTAGCTAAATTACTAACAACTTCAGATCTCATCCACGACATCTTCCCCCACGGTTTCTTCCCCGACGACTAACAGGTAAGTATGAATTATACATATTACTAACTAATTTAAATATTAGAAACTCACCATTCTTTTTCCATGTTTTCTTTAGAATTTTAGCCTTCATCCAACGATCATCTGAAAAATTCACAAAAGAAAAATAAAAAATAGCAAACTTCTTCAAAACTGTTTAAAACCCTATTAAATTTTTGCACCAACAATTAAATAAATATAATACCAATGCAGTAAATTAATTTATAAATTTTTCCCCCACACGCAGTAAATCTAATAACGATGAAAATTTGTAACTTAATTTTCCCCAACAACTAGCAGTAAAATTAAAATTCTATGTAGTAAATTAATAAGAAGCAAATGCAGTACTAACCTTTTGCTATTTTCATTCACTCGCACAAGAATTCTATCCAAACTCGCACAGCTCGCCCACGAAGAATTGTTTAAAATAATGAATTTCAGTTTCAAGCTTTCACAACTCAACAACTCTAACACACGATAACAAGTTTCAAACTTTCCTTTAACCCGGTTGGAAAGGAATTATATACTAAACAAAACTAACCAATGCAGCTTACTAAACACCACAACACATAGCATAAAAGCATGACTAAGAAAAGGAAACCAACGGTACCCAAACCGGATTAACCCAGTTTAAAACTGGATAATTTATTCTTTTGAAAACTATTATAAAGTCTAAGAAAGAAATAATAAAACACAAAAAAGTCGAAAGACAAACCCATACCACAAACAATTTGATTTTTGAAAAAAGGACACAACCAACAAAACATAAGAAAAACCACAACAAACCCAACATAAAACGTTGTCACATAACAGGACCTCTCACAAAAACCGCATGCAATCATACTCCCACTCCTGGCCTAACCCACCAGGAAGGACGTCCTGAGCATGCTCTATAGCCGGCCTAACCCACCGCGCTACATCCACGCTTTGAGACCACACTCCTATTTTTAATAAGAGCTACTCAAGGGTGAGTAACTCTTCAAAATAACTGAACTAAAACAAAAAGCTTTTGTGAAAACAACTAACTAAAATCATAATTAAAAAATATTAAACTAATAAAAGTTTTATAAAATGTAAATTACATTATGCAATACATAGATCAGAATACAACACCAAGGACGAACATCCAAAGACAAAACGACCCTACTACACTCGAGAAAGAATGGCCAACTACAATCAATATGCCGCCCACAATCACAACTCAAAGGATTTAGAGTACGACTTGACTTCGCAGAAAAGGACTTCATTGAACTAGACCAATGACCACCTCGATGTTCAAGTATACGTACAGATCCGAGTAACCAGGCATCCCCTCCACGCACAATCTCCACGCCATTCCCAGACAAGGTCAAACACAAAGAAGTTCTCATCAATGAAACAGAAAAACCTGACATAGCCAACCATTCTGAAATCAGATTTGAGTTTGTTGCGAAAACCCAGTCGTTGTCTTGAGAAGACACAACGATTGAATCTGGGACTTCTCTAATAAGAAAACCCAGAAGAAATAAGATGTTCGCCAAATACCAACGTCCATCATCCATCCTTTGAATTGCAGAAAGACTATTCTAAAAAACTCTGTAAAACCCGGATGGGTGGAACCTGATCTAAACTACATTTTATGATTGGATAAATTAGATATTTTACCAATGTAAAGTATTTAATATTAACCAATCATGATCCATCTAACTAACAATCCACTTATTTGTAAGTGCTGAAATTACTTGTAATTTCAGCACCAGAGAGATTTGAATTTAACTTAGAAGTTAGTTGAACTCTCCCGAGTACTTCAGCAGCCGCCATAAACCAGTATACCCTAGATCTATTGAGCCTAGCAGAGACTAGTTAAACAACCTGAGACTAGATAGTATAAGAGTAAGATTAGGATCGGTATTAGACTAAGAAGTTGCACGAATCTATCCGGCCGAAAATAAGATAGCGTGACGAGCAGACGGTGTACCCTATCCGAAATTACTCTATGAGTTATACCCATCGGTCCTAACTCATAGTTTTCAATAAAAAAAATTATCAATTTTTTTTTTTACAAAACAATGAATCAGTCGTATAATCTCTCCTCACCTTTTAGTGCCCTACCGTAGAATATTCTGCCCAAGCATGTATTCAATCCGAAAATTAACCCTTTATCTAATATGCATTTCATACAAACTTGATACAATTATTTTGAAATTTTTCATCCAATTTGTATTTTCTCCTCAAAGTTATTCTTTGAAAGGTTTGTATTTTCTTCCTACTTAATCGTTAAAAATGCTCGTTTAAAAACTCGTTAAAAACGATTTAACGGTGGGACTGTACTGTTGATCCGATTGAATTTCCCCCAGGTGCGGCCGAAGCAGACCCGGTGAAGTTCCCCAACTCCCGCCCGGGCAGTGAGGCCTCGAACAGGAGTGTCCTATCCAGCAGCAGCGGCAGTGGAAACCACCCAAACACCCCCAATAGTCCTAACGCTCCCATAGTGCCAGAGACGGATATGCTAGAAAGGTACATTTTGAACCAGTTTTTTCTTAGTTATTTTTTAAATTTATATGTGCTTTTCAATGTTTTCCTTTTATTTCTAACTTTTCATGCAAGTTCTTTCAAAATACAATTTAGTTTCACTAGAGATGGACATTTTGAAAAGGTACTGTTAACATTTCTTTTGAAAAAACTGATCTCCGTATTTTGATTGTATTTTCTTTTTCAATGTTTCCTCCGTCTAACATCTAGTTTTTGAAGGCTATCAATTTTTGAATCTCACCAAAAAAATAATATACAGGAAAGGTAAAGTTCGAACTTAGGCCCAAATCGGACCCCCCCCCCTCCTGCTTCTATTGGGAGTAGTGTCTAATGTAGACTCGACTCGATCGATCTATTTCAAACTGTTCAATTGCAGATCCAAAAGAGGGTCCGGTGCTAGCATATCTAGCTGCCTCGCTACAGAGATGAGCCGGAGATTTGGAACAGCAGAGGACTACTACTTCTGCCCCGTGCCAGAGGACTTCATCTTCACCCACTTCCCGTTTGAGTCCAAGTGGCAGTTGTTGCAAGATGGAGACAGTTTGAGCAAGAGAAACTTCGAGAAATTAGCTGTAATTAGAGACGAATTTTTCATGATGGTAAGAGTGTTAATGTTTATATAAAAAAGCGATTTTCATTTTTTTTCTATTTTTTTTGTCAAATTAAGCAGTTTTTCCATGATGGTAAAAGTTTTAATGTTTATTAAAATACACAACTTTCTTTTTTTGTATTTTCTGTCAAATAAAGCAGTCTTTCTATGATGGTTAGTTTTAGTACAAATTCTAGTACCAAAATTAACATGGGCAGAACTGCAGGTTCTATAGTGGAAATTAATTACAAATTTTTCGCTATCAAAGATCTCGTTAACTAACGTTTTCTTTTCCTCGCCGTGGTAAACCTTTTTATTAGCTACATCAGGAACACCTCAATAATTGGAATAAAAGAAACTTGGAAAAATTTTACAAAAACTTTTATGGAGACTTTTCCATTTTCAACATTTTTTTTTTCAAAAATATTGGCCCATTTTGCCACTATAGATGTCTCGCTCCACAGATAAAGTTTGTGAAAACATTCCGGGCAAAGTGAGCGTGGGTTGTTTTCAAAAAATAACAGCCAAATAAAATGTCCGTACAAACTATAGATTAGCTCAACTTTCGAATTGTTGACTATGTTCAATATTTTAGGGTTTAAACGTGACCGAAGATACCCATTTCACGACAACTGTCAAAACAACGAACGGAACTGCCAAGTTTGTATTCCGACTGCCAATCTCATTCGTGTTAGAGTTCAGAGTACAGTTATTATGCACGAAAGGTAATTTTTCTCGACACAAAATTTCAAACATTTGAAAAAAAAACATTTTCAAGTTTGGAGAACATCTGATTGACAATAAGTTTCTTAACCATTTGAACTAATTTAAGCTAGTATTTTTGTTTCACAAATCATGATGGAAAAAACTGCCAAAGATAAATTTCTTTAATCTAAAGTACTGAAAATCTACTTTCTTCAATTAAAATTGTTCATCGTTGAGCTATTTAATACATTTTTAAATGTTTCTCGAAAACTGATATCAAAAATTGTATCAATTTTGTATAACTGACATCAAAAATTGTATCAAATTTTTATAACTGACATCAGAAATTATACCAAAAACTTAAAAGCTTAAATTGTATCAAAAATTGTATCATTTTTGAAAAGCTGAAATTGTACCAAAAATTGTATCATTTTTGAAAAGCTGAAATTGTAACAAAAGTAGTATCATTTTTGAAAAGCTCAAATTATATGAAAAATTGTATCATTTTTGAATAACTCAAATTGTATCAAAAATTGTGTCTATTATTGCGTCTTCTTGCCACCAGGTCCGCACAAAGGCAAAGAGCTACCCCGCTATGTTTTCTTCTATCGCGACCAGACCAAAATAGTGTTCGAAACCAGACTCAACTTCTCGGGCGAATTCTCAATCGTATTCTTCTGTCGACACGAACTAACTGATAGTTTAGATCAGGACGAGCTAGATATCATCACTTTCTGCGAGTTTGCGAATTATAAATTGGTTTGTAATTATGAGGAACCGCCGAAGAAAATCAGGAAAAAAGGACACACAGGCGAGTCCGTTCAAAAAGTTTGGGAGTCCGTTCAAAAAATTAGACAACTTGTATTTCATGCTCGTCAAAAAGTAGGCACATACAAATAATAACCAATCAGAGCGCGAGATGAGAAAAACAAATATAAGCATGATTAATAAAATCATTATTTATATCGTACGTTTGTTTTTTATCTCGTTTTTGATTGTCAAATTTGTATTTGTCTGCTTTTTGCTTTATGACATGTCTACTTTTTGAACTGTCTTCTTTTTGCTAAGTAACCAATTTTCATAGAGCTTAAGCTGCTTTTTTAAAATAATAATGACTTGACGCTCGAAATCAGAGGGGTTTAAAAAAGGTTCTGAAGTCTAATTTAGGACCATTTATGTACATGAGAGAAGGTCAGCATACGAGCAGTTAAGCGCATACCGTCGGTTGTACCGCTGTTGTGCCTCTATAATTAAATTTCTAAGCAATTTTAATAGTCACTGAACGTGGTAAAGTTCTCATATAGGTCTTGGTGATTTTTTGTTTTGCTTATTTTTCAGGAAATTTTTTTAAAATGCTCCAATGACCAGAGATGTGCATTCATACATAATAATGCATTTATGAATAATTTTATCAGTAAATAGTTAATAGTCAATCATAAGTTTGTCTTGGAAATCGAAGATTATTAATTCTTTATTTTTTAAGAGTCGATGAACGTAGTTCAGGCTCTTAAATAATGTTGTGATGAATATTTTTTCAGAAAAAATTTCAAAATTTGTTCAGGCTCAAATTCACTTTTTTGTGGTTTGACTTTGAATTATTTGAAAGTTCACTTCATTTAGTTTGTTGAAAGGAAAGCAAACTCCACTATAAACAGCAAAAGTGCAAAATTCACGAAAAACTTAATTGATTTCTAATTTTGAAAATGTGTTTTAATTAAAAGTTACAATGAATAAAAGAAATTACCTATTAATTGAGTTTTTATTTCAAGTTGAGCCATTTTTTAATCAGTAAGTTGAGATTTTTCAAAAAACAAAACAGCATTTTTTTTTTGTTTCCTGGAATTCGATGACTTTTTTCCAACTGTCTATTGGCTATGATGTTTTTTGAATGGGCCTCGGTAATGTTGTGGCACGATTAAAAAACAGAACTCTATGAGAGGTTTGAACCACCAACCTTGCGACTGAGAGGCAAAGACTTTAGCCAATTCATAGCCACTTCTTTGTGTCACTATACTGAAATTGGGTCTTAAAATAAAGGGTTTTGAGCACTTTTTTTTTGCTGCAGACACATTTTTGGGAGTAATAGCTAAACGTGACATGTTTTAGAAACTGTTGGAGGATTTCAATCAAAATATGATAATTTTTCAAAATATGTTTTTAGTTATTTCATTTTAAATTACATATCCATTAATCATACCTGTTCATTCAGGAGTGGCTGAATTGGAATCGCAAGTTAAGGAAGACGCTCGAGATCGACTATTGGGACCTCAAAGAGCAGCCATGGAATACTTGAACTTGACTTTTATCGACCACGAGTCAGGCTACTTTCGGGTTCACGCAAGTGGCAATTTAGTCGTTCGGATTTATGGAACAGAACCGATCGAGGTAAATAAGAAACCAAATTCATTTATGTTTTAATCATTTGCACTTATTGTTATTATTTCTAAAAAATATTTCAGTTTTTTTTATTTTCATTTTAAATCATTCGTTTTCAATTTGAAAACTAAATCGTTTATGATGAAGAAATAATAACTTAAGTGAAAGGCATTTTAATTTTGCTTTATATCTGACTTTCACTCGAATAAAAAATTAAGTGATGAAAAAAATTACCTGAAAAAATTATGCGAAACTGAAACTTGCATCGAACAGGAAATAATTAAATTTTTCTAGTTGAAAAACCATTTTCAGTTAGTAATTAATATGAATATTTATTTTTAGGTCCGTTACGAATTGATGAAAGACCAGGATAGTTACCGCAAATTCTGTTCCCTAGTTCTGGGCGATGGCGCCGACCGAAACCACATCTACTTCCGGTGTAGATTCCCCGAAGCGGGCGAGTATTTCCTGAAACTGTTCGGAAGGTACCCTTCAATTGAAAGTGAAGATTGGACGATGTTTGCATTTTACATGGTTAGAGTTCCGCAATCGAGCAAACGGAAATACCATTCGCCTAAATGCACTTCGGGTTATTTCGGACTCAAACCTGCACTTGAAAAACCGACGTTGTTAGTTTCACATAGAAGCCCTTATTTTTACAGCAAGGAAAACAAAATTATCCTAACTCTGAATTGTGAAAAATTCCGCAATGAAATTCGGATGAATTTTTTCTATCTGGATACAACTCAAGGTTCTAGGGGTGCAATGACAAATGTAAACAATTTGTTGTTTTACGACCGGTTTCTGGCTGAAAAACAGCACATTCAGTGTGATATAGAAATGATGTCACGTGGTATTCACGTGTTGGAAATTTTCAGAAGAAAAAAGACCACAAAAAAGATCCCAAAACCTCTCGACCCAGACGAAGAGTTGCTGAAAATACTCGACGACGAAAGCCAATCAATCAAATCAGGATTTTCCGAAGAGTTTATCGAAAAGGTAGAAATTGAGGACGAATATATCATGACTTATGGAATCGATTACATCGGTCGGGAAATCCCGAATTCTGAAGTTTGCGAGTTTCCGGATATTTTGCCGAACTGGTCCGGTCGTTGCAAGTTATTCGAGCCCAGAATTCGGTTTTTGCCCGCTTTGAAGACGATACTTTTCAGAATAGCAGTTCCCTGGGCTAAAGAGGTTTGGGTAAAGGGCAGGGAAACAACGAAGTTGGAGCGTCAGGACGATAAAAGAGGCATTTTTAGTTACAACGTTCTTGTTGGAATGTTTCATCCGGTACTTAATTAGAAGTGCGGTTTCATATTGAAAGTAGCAAAAAACTAAACCTAAGAGTGACAAACTAAAACTACAAAGAGTAAGAAATTCATAATGCACTAAATAGTTAGCCGCTCAAGGTTTTTTGACTTTTAACCATTTGAATATAAACATTTTTAGACATCGAAGGTTGAATGGTTTTTGCCGATAATGGTCATCGACATCGAAAGCTATATTTTTGCTCATCTAACATTAATTATTTTTTTTTGATTGCTCTATGATCGCTTTTTCGGTCGCTTTTCACAAATTTAAGGATTTTTTAACAAAGTTTTCTTTTAAACTTCCGAGAAGAAGTGTCTGCTAATTTTGGCCTCAGTTATTTCTATTTCGTTACCTATTCGCTAGCTGCTATGCTCGATTTGGATCGGAAGTGATGACAAGCTACGCTTTGCCTCTAGGTACAACTTTTTTTGTTTCAACTTTGTGGAGAAAACAGTTTTTGTTAAACTGAAAACGATAGTTTTTTTTTTCATTTTTTTAAAAAGTTTTTTCTTAATGGAACCAGATTTTAAAAAAAAATTGAATAATTTTTTATCGATACTGCAAATCCCAAGCTAAATTTTTGATTTCTTAAGCTTCATTTCGTTTCAGTATTTTGTAGAAGTATTTTGTTAGTATAGTGAATACGACCTTTTTTGAGCATTTTTCATAAGTGGAGCCACTTGTTTTTCAAAAAAAAAAGAAAATAGAAGTTCTAAATAAGTACCCTGCTAAATCAGAACTTGACAGTGCAAGCTGTTCCTTATAACGAGAAGAAGCCAGAGAGTGAAAAAGTGAGAGCAGAAGAAATGGGGGAGAACGAAGGGGTTGGTATTGAGGCGGAAGAAGAGACGGACCCGGAGCCACTGGATTTGCTGAAATTCGAGGTTAGAATGTTTTTTTTCTACTACATTTTTTTGACCGAGGGTTTGAAATAATGCTTAAATTTTAATTTTGTAAAATATCTTTCATTTTTTATGAAATAGTTTTTTGAGCTAATCAGCTTAAATTTGTGTTTTGAGGTTTCAATTAGTTTGTTTTTTTTTTGTTTTTAATGAAAAAGAGAAATTGCTGCCTTTTTGAGATACAGGGTTGAACTTCTAATAATAATTAAAGTACCAGGAAATGTTTCCATTTTTCTGTGTTGAAATAGGAAGTTAGATACGCTTTACTCAAAACACTCTCATAAAACTAAAAAATTGGTTTAACACTTATTTAGTTACTTAAAAATGTTTTACATTGAATTTATGATAAGTTGATATTTTAATGCTTATCATGCACTTTTCGTATATTGGAGTTTTTCCATACACTGTGTATGGAAATGTGTCACAACCAATTTTGGTTTTGAAGGGCAACCTGGACAACTTATACATTTGACAAACTAAGTTGAAATTTTTCAAAGTGATTTTTTCTACTTATTTCTACTCAATTATATAACATAACTATTGCTGATGTTTTTTGATTACTTCAAACTTCAATCAGTTTACACATTCATTCGATAAACGAATCTTGTCGTTAAACGTTCTCTGAAACATTCTCTGTTTATCGGAAAGCTACCGCATCCTAATGTTTGTCTTCAAAAGTAACGCTCAAATCGGCTAATAAAAAGTTCGGCTCAATTTTTTTTTAAAGTCAGTTATTTTACACATATAATAAACATAATCTACTAATGGAAAATCAATTCAGTATTTAGAAGGGTACAAAACTAAAGACTGACTTTTCAAAGAATTAAATTTCTAAGGAATAAATATGTACTTCGATTTTTTTAGTTAAATTTAATTCAAATATTTGAAAAAATTTTCTTATCACATTTCTGTTACTTCGCCGTTGTTGACTGAATTCGAAAACACCGGTGGATATCTTTGCATCAAATTCCCACTTCCATAATTTGTCTTGTAATTCGGTCCCAAAAGTCCTTTATTGTGTGAGGAATCTCCATATCGTAGCGAGTTCTGACTTCCCAAATTTCCTTTTTCAACCGTACTTCTCAAATCGTAAATTTCGGCATTGTAATTGGTGTAATTTTGATCACGTGATGTTCCGTATTGCGCAACATAATATTCGTAATCTTCGTCAGAATACAGTGAGCTGTCCTTTGGAAGTTTTGTCGTGCCTCGATCCAAAAGCCATGAAATTGTCAAATAAATTATCAAAAAAGACATTTCAACGAGACACTTAACAACAATAACATCTTTAACGTATTCAAACATTTTAGTAGGATAAGAAATCTTTGGAGTAATTGTATAAAACCAATTTGAAGATTCAAAAGGATTGTTGAAATAAATCATTAGAAAATGGTAAGAAAAATTATCTGATCATAACGTGACAAGAAAGTTCCGTCCATTGAATTCTGTAAATCTCCAATTAACTGAATGCCGTAAGCTGAATTGAAGTTGGTCGACTTAATCTAAGCAAAACAGCCAAGATTCTGTTAGTCTAACAAAAATCATAATATGCTTGAATGTTACTCAGATTTTTTTAAAATTAGCCGCGTCCTATGTACTTTTGAATCCGGCTCAATTTAATCCGGCTCTCTTTTAATGGTTACAGTGCACATTTTTTCCCTATTTTTATTTATTTTAAAAAAATTACCATCGTTGTTAGTTTTGCACAGCTTTTTTAAAGAGAATTAAGCAACCATTTGAGCGAACAAGTGACCATTGGTCCATAATTTTGTTTTAATTTTCCCAACAATTCATGCTGAAGAAACATTATTCTCTAGGGGATTTTTTTTCTCAAAATGGACGCTGAATTGAAACGAAACAATGGTATAGTTTTTAACATGCATTAAATTAAGGGACAGTTTATGCAAATGGTAAAATCGTCTTCGATGTTTAATTTTTTTTTACATAGCTGAGTTTTTGTTTCGACCATTTTAAAAATGTGGAGGAATTTTGCATTCATGTGTTTTTAGTTTTTTTCTTTTTGTTTTCTGCGCAAAATTAGGTACCACAAATAATCTTTAGAATGGTCAAATGATACATGATATTAAAGCCCTTTCAGTCGTGATTCGAATGACATTTAAAATTTTTGAAAACTTTTTCTTAGTGTCAAGAAAAACTAGTTAGAATTTTTAAATTTTTGATCTAATTTTAAGCTAATGACGTGAGCATGAAGGCTTACAATAGCTTATTCATGCTGAAATTAAGATGGCATATAAACCAGCCGAAAAATAAACCAGCCGAAGTATCATGCAGCCGGAAATACATAAAGGCTATATAACAGTTAAATAACAATTATGTAACAGTTACCAAAGTTTTGCAATTTTCATTTATGTTATGTAAATTTTCCGCTGATTCATATACACCGCGCATTTTCGGTTGGTTTAGATTTCGGTTGGTTTGTTTACTCTTTATTCTAAGCCAAGAAAATTTAGATTTACTTGAGTAAGGTTATTTTTTGGAGTTTTTGGCGCCAATTTCGAAATCAAAAACTTCAAATTTCAAAAACTTTCTTCAAACAATTTTGAAAAAAGTTTTTTGATTTTTTTTTGAATTTTCAAACGATTTTTTTTAAAAGTTTTTCTAGTCATTTTTTAAAAAAACTTTATTTCAGTTGTGCTATTTTGCTATGACTGTCGAATGTGCCTAAGTTTTTTTCGTTCAGATATTTTCATAAAACCACGCAGAAAAACGGCACTAATGTGAAAAAACTTTTTTTGGTGTTTTAAGATTATGGTCGGGGATTCTGTGCTACTCGCACAGTAACCGGCTATCCTTGAGTGTTTTTAAAATCAGGTAAAAACAGCTTTTTGTTTTTAAAACAATGTATATAATATTCATGAAAACACTGGGCGTTGTAATTTTTTGAGTTTGCAGCATGGAAGGAAAACATAGCTTGATAGTCTTTCGGACAAAAATTTGCCACAAAAATTGTTTGTTGTATCTTCTAGGCAACCTAGGTTTAGAAAAACTATATGCAAAGTATCAAACAACTTAAAATGTTCATAATTAAATTATCTTGAAACTAATTTTCAAATCCTTTTTCAGAGTGATATTTAACTCTAATTTTGAAACAATAAAAGCTTACTTAACCTCAAAAAAAAACAACGAGTTTTAAACTCAGCCAGTAAATTTATTAAAAATTCAGTTTCTAGGAACAACAAAGTTGAATAAGAAGATAAAGTTTATTAATATTAACATTAACTAAACAAGAGTAAAATTTCTAAATCTCGGGAATTTTAACGAAATGATATCCAGAAGCTAAACTAAGATTTCAAAACCGCTATATTTGATTTAGTTGTACGTCAGATAATCCCCAAAGTCTTATCAAATTATTGAAAGAAGTTGTTGGTTAATTCTTATTACTAAATTTTACGAAGAAGTTTTATTTGAGGCAATAGATTTCCAAACTGGATTTAAATAAATAACTTTGATTAAATAAATGCCGTAGAATAATTTGGTATATGAAAACTTAACTAAAAGTTTCGGAACCTTTGAGAATTTGGGTTACGTTAGAAGATTATGCGTGAAAAGTGAAAGTGAAATTGATCAAGTTTTGGAGATTTTATCTTTTTTTAAATAACAGCAACAAACGTTTATAATACAAGACATTAAAAAGTAGTGCTAATACCGGCTTATCCGATGGTATAAAATTTAAAGATAGTATATTAAAAATCTGAAAAAAAAAATTGAATTGTTTTCTGTCCTACAGGAATTGTGAACGAACTTTCTTGTTTTGCTTCAAAATAGAGGGCTTAATTCAAATGGGAACAAAAAGCTTTTAATTCGCTTTATTTCCTCATCAAAGGAAATATCTCAGGAGATTGTATTGATTAGTCTGCCAAAATCCACCTCAGATAGAGGACTTTTTAAATGCAGTTGACAGCTTGCTGACCTTTTCAACTCACTACAATTTTCAGGGTACTTTTTTAAACGGTCTGAACAAAATTTGAGTGCGTTACTTCAAGACTTATTTCTTTTTTTTTCTATTTCAAGTCTCAAGGGGGAAATTTTAGACAGTTTTGACAGATTTGGAACCTTTTTTTCGGTCTGAGGAAGTTTAAAAAGTGAAAAAAAAATTACATGTGCGAATTCTCGAATTCTTTGCTCTTTTTTGAAAAGTTTGTTGACTTTTTTTTGCATTCAGCTGAGTACGAGAGGGCAATTATGAGACTTTGTTTGGGGAAAAAACAATTCTGACCACGTGACGTCGGGTTGGTTTCTCAAAAGAGCTCGTAGGTGATGAAAACTTGCATCATGATAAAAACCTTCTTCCTTTATTCTGATTTTTAGAAGAAAAAAATCAAAGCTGTTCCGCTGTCAAGAAATATTGGTCCTAATTTTTCTATTTTTCACTATGAAAAAAAAAAACATCTAGTTTTTTCTCAGCAACTATTGTGTCATTGTTCCGACCATTTGAAAAATGGGGAGGAACTTTTTATACAGGTGTGTTTTAGTTTTTTTCTTTTTTTGTTTTCCACGCAAAATCAGGAACCGCAAATAATCATTAGACTGGGTTGAGTGATTTATTATATTTAAGACTTTTCAGTCGTGTTTCGAACGACATCAAAAAATTCCCATTGTGAGAAAAAACCGGATTGAAGTTTTTGATGTTTCGTCTTTTTTCGACCAAGTAAAGCGATCGAGAAACGTTCTTTATGTATGAAAAATACAATTTGGCTAAAAGATGATAATTTGACTAGAAAAAAAATATATAATTTTAGATGCCTTATTTAGCGCGTCTCTGGCAAAAATCATTTATACGGTTCGATAAAAAATCATTAATTATAAAAACACTTGAAAAAACGAAAAGTTACGAAGAAAGCAAAATATTGCTTTAAGCTTGCCAAAAACTGCAGCGTCTCGCTTGATTCTTCAGAAGAATGCTAGAGTTGCAACAGAAAAAAAAAACGATTTGAAAGTATTTTGCGCAGAAAATTTCCTAT